ACGGATCAAACGATTTGAATGATTTAAAAAACATTTGAATCCTATTGAAGAGGAGACGCGCTGATTAGTTTTTCTCGAAACAGATCTAACCGTTTGAAGACACGAGGCAAAAAGTAAAAAAAAAATGAAGTAAGTTCTAGAAATTTGCATTAAAGAACAATTCCATGCACCACTAATATCTTAGTAGATATTGCATTACAATATTTATCGGTTCAATTCCGCGGCTATTAATGCTGCAAAGATCGGTTATGCATATAATATTGATAAAATAATTTGCTCGACGCTTTCGATCTGGAGCTTGTTAAAAGAAGGAGTGTACCGTTAGAGTCGCGTGCGTACACATTTGAAAACCACACCTAGACAACGAGATAATAGCGGAATCGTCAATGCAATTCGTGCATAATGCGGATCTATTTCCAGATTTATTGCCGCGGATTACGAGTACTTTTACGCACTCGCGAGAGCGCTTTTGGCTCCGCTGCTCGGCCGTGGGCGAGACGAAGCCGTCCTACGAATACAACGGAGCAATTGCATCGGAATTATATTAAGAAATCATTTTAACAATACTGAAGACAATAATAATAGTGAAATGAACTATTGGTGGTTGGTAGGAACTTTGATTTAAAATATTGGAACTTTCTATTCTAAACAAATATTGGATGAATGAATTTAATAAACAAGTTGGAACTAGTAATGCATATCAAAAGAATACAAAACAGCGATTTTTTTTATTTTTATTGGCCTCGCTTACTCGAGCATTTAGCCACCTACAACATATTTCAATTTCAGTACAATCTTCATGTTCACACTATTTTCCTTATATAAATCCTATTCTTCTTTCTATTTAATATTCTATCCTATTCTATGTACTCTTCAAGGAAACTTCATTCTTCTTTTTTCTTCTTTATTATCTATCATCATTCCATCTTTTATCTTCTTACGTCTTCATTACTTATATTCTTACTTCCATTACTTCTATTCAATTTAATTTTCATTCTCAAATCTTTTATACACGATTGAACTATTTTTAATACTATTTCAAACTATTTTTAACATTGTTTCAAACTATTTTTAACTTTATTAACTTCCCGAACATTGTTTCAAACTATTTTTAACTTTATTAACTTCCGAGAAGTTTATGTTTTCATAAAAAAATCCGACTCATTTTATGTTTTCTTGGCGTTTGAAGCCATTCTGAATCGAATGAGACCAAATTTGGAAAAAGTATGTGTGTGTGTGAATAGATTTTTTGCCGTAAATCGACGGTAAATACGGCGGTAAATACCATAGTCTTGTAGATCATACTAAAATATCACGGCCCCACAACAAGTTGTTTAATTTTAAACATTTTTCAAAATTTGAGAAAATGAGTAGTTTTTTTGACGTTTGTTAGAATTAAAATTAGACGATTTACTTGGTATAACGATAGAGTTCTTGGTCTTAATGAACATAATAAACCATTAAGTCCTATGGAAACTGGTTCAATTAAACAAATTACTGATTTAATCACTCAAAAATTAATTTATTTTTTATTGATTAAGTCGATTATTTACATGTATCGGGAAGTTCATGTATCACCAGCGATATTTAAAACACAAATAACACGTATTTGAAAACTTGAATTCTAAATTAAGTCTCTAACTGATAAAAATTACTTTATATCAATTTATTGATTGATATGAAGATAATAATTAAATTGAATTATTATGATAAATTATTAATAATATATAAATAAAAAATTACTAATTATTAATTAAAAGTTGCTCATTTAGAGAAGTTCGCGGTGCACATGGTGAAAAATTGTTGCGAAAACATTGGCACAACTGTCCCTCACATTGGTGCAAATTTTGATCAAGTCAGTTAACTACAGGCATGTTCGGCGATTTTTACAATAGAGAAAAATATCGAACAAAGAAAATTTGGTAGTTTGAAGTAAGTATTATACGCCGAAACATTGAAAATTGTACATTAGGCCTATGACGAGTGTGTTTTTTCAAAAACCTTACTTATAAGCAGTGGTGTTGTCGAGCCGGAACGTCGTTCCGGCAAATTATTTTTGGGCCGGAACGCGTTCCGTTAAAAAAAAAATCGCTACATAAAGAAAATAATTTAATAAGTGAATTTTATAAATTATAATTCAACTATTTTTTATTAAATGTTCCTATTATTGTAATAAATATACATATTAATGCACAAAATTGTAATAAATATACATATTAATGCACTTTTCGAAAGAAAAATTCAAAAAATATTAGTACAACACCACTGCTTATAAGGTGTAGGGCATTGGCAAAGGGCCGAGACGTCGTGGAAGATCTGATCATTCATCAACGTCTATAATGGATGAAAACGTCGTCAAAGTCAAAACAATATTGCTGGAAAATCGTCATAAAAAGTTAGTTCTTGACCCTAGCGTATCTAGCGAATCAATTACACCATCAAATTGGGCATAGAATACTTTGCTGTTCGACAAGTTCTACAAGTATTGAACTTTCTTCAAAACCTTCACCGAAAGAATGTGGATGCGAATTAGAACCGAATAAAAATTGATTCATAAAAAATGACAAAATGTTAGTATATAATTTTGAAGTGCAACCCAGTCAGCAGGCAGCTGAATGGCGTGGTCCAGATGGGCCGAAACCAAGAATAACTTTTGATTAAGTCGAAGTCGGTCAAAAGACGAAGTCTTGCTTCTGTTTTTGTTTGACTATGGTCGTGTTATGCACTTAGTAATGGTTCCAGATAATTCAACGGTAAATAAAAAATGTCATTAGGAAGTTATACGAAAGGAAACTAATAGATCTTACGCCACAGTCGCATAAGACGTTATCGATTTTTTATCAAAAAATCATGAGAGAACTATCGTATTCACGAGATTTTTACACCTGCAAATTATTTCTTTTCTCAAAAATTAAATTCCTTCTTTTCGGACACTGCTTCCAGTCAATAGGTGCCACCAAGGACAAATCGTCGAAGGAGCTCAATGCCCTTTGAACTCTTTGATCAGATGCTTTGACCATTGTGTTCATTTTGGGCATGTGTTCATTACTACGAATTCAGAGTAATATTTTACGTTGAACGTATATTGGAAAAGTTGGCAAGTTGAAATATATGATAATGTATTTTCTGACTAAATATTTTATACTTTAACAATTATATTATTGTGCTTACATCAAACACAGCATAATAGATATTGTGCTGATTAAAAATATATTATGTATGCAATATTCAATTATAAATTACCTAATTAACTTTTTCTGAAATGCCAAATTTGTATTTGAGTTTTTTTAGCATGAGCACTTACCTAATAGAATTTAAATCATATGAATAAATAAAAAAAATCATAAAATAATTTCGTTTAAAATATATATATATATATATATATATATATATATATAATAAATTCTACCTCAAGCATTTTTGCCTGTTAAGTGGAATTTGTATGAATTTGTATGGCAATTGTATTATGATTTATTTTCCTATGATATCACGAGCGCATACTCCACTTTGCATCATTTCAAATGGTTGAAGATAAATTACACGCTTGTTCAAAAGAATTGCAGTATAGTGAAAAACAATATTGCGAGGAAACTCTGCGACGTTCTGAAATATGTTCTTTATCATGTGATGGCCAATGCGGATATAATACGAAAGCATGTACTTTTCAATAAATTGAATTGAAATTAATTCATAGATGCATGAGAGTATCAAATAACTTCACCGATAAATAATTATCACTGTAATCGTTATTGTTTAATTTTTTATGTCTATTAAGTACAAGTTGTATAAGAATAAAATTCAAGCAAAATTAAAATTAACTAGTGGGGCGCATGGCATCGTGCCTTGAGGTAAATTGATGGAACTTCCCGTACCGTAATTTAAAATTCGAGGAATGAACAAATAGTCAATAATTGTTTTGAAGATTTTCAAATAGGTTATTTATTACAAAAACTGTAAATTTATAAGTGCTTTTTAAATTGGGTGACGAGCGTATTTTATGAACAACTTATGATAATTTTTTTTAAATAATTAATGTAATGTAATGAATGATCAATTTAAAATTATTTGAAACAATTATTGATTATTTTCATTCCTAAATTACGGTACGGGAAAAGTTCCAGCAATTTGCCTTAAGGCACGATGCCATGCGCCCCACTAGTTATGGGTTATATTTGCTTCCACTTATTTTAACACATGTTTTTGAATAAATAAATTAGCAATCGTTTTTTATTAAATTTTGAAACATGTTTGACATTTTGTCCGAAAAGCATTGGCATACTTGGTTTTTTAAAGTCAGTTGTTTTAATGACGTACCAGGCATTTTTATTTTGATTTTTTTCATGTTTTAATTTTAAATTATAGTAGTATGCTGCAAGCACAAAAACAAATGTGCAATGAAATTTTTCGTATAAAAATCATTCAAAATTCGTTTTTTCAAATTTACAGTTATAAATACCGGGAAACAAAGTGAAGGTAAGTAAAATTCATTATAAGAATATTGTATTTTCACATAATGTAATTTCAAATTTAATTTTGAATTTTTATTTTTTTTTGTAGTTTTCAATTTTATGCCATTGACAAATGTCATTTATATCCCACAAAGCTTTTTTATATTTGAAAATACTTCAATTTAAATATACTACATCGTACTGTCATCTAATTTGACTTGACTTAATTCAGTTAAAATATTTAGTAAATATATTTTTCTTGATTACAACTGGACATGAATATCTTTAGATTTGTGTGTATTTGCTAATATATCCGATATTAGTTTTTTAATATAATTTTTCTCTACATGGTTTAATTTTTAATCATCAATTATATTAAGAAAATATTTATTAAAATTAATTTAAAATAATGAATTTCGTATTAATTAAAATTTTTAGTTGATATGTTGTTGATATTCAACTATTTAGAATGATAATTAGATATAATAGTATTTGAAATAGCATTTCCATACGCTACTGGTTCTATTAATATTATTTCCGCAGTTCAGCACCATGGGGTCGAGGAGGCATACGAGAAAGGCGGCAAAATTATGGAGGAAAAGTTCGTCTACCCTGTCTGAAGTGCTGATTCGCGAGGCGAAGAAGGTAATTAAAAAATAAAATTAATATATACTAATAAACAAAGATATATCAATACAATTAAAATAACATCATAAAAACAAATATATGAATGCAGTATGATGAAGAATATATTGAAAAATAAATATAGATTTCAGTTATCACTTTCATAGATTGTAACTTAAAATTATAGATTGCAAAATATTTTAAGAACAAATAGCCTTTATCTAAAAAAGTTAGAAAGTAATAAGTAAATGGAAAATAAAATACAAAAAAATCGGGTAATTGTTTGGGTTGTCACCTACAAACGTTGCTATAAGTCAAAATATATTACAACTCATAATACCCATAATTTCTGACTTTGTTCAAATAACTACATTTAGATATATATGCATATATATACATATATATATATATATATATATATATATAATATTATTATTATTATTTTCGCAGAAACGTGCCGCGAAAAATTCTGGAATTCATAGGAAGTATCGACTATCCCCCGAATTAGCCAAATTAATAGGTAGTAATGAACCCGAAACACGGTACAATGTGGTCAAGCTAATCTGGATACAAATCAAGGAGAGGGAACTCCAAGATCCTGAAAATCCTGCATATATTGATTGTGATGAAGAGTTTGAGATGGTGACCGGGTTGGTGCGTCTTAGAGGCTTTACAATTATGAAGTACCTCAACCACCACTTTTTAGAATAGATCATCACACGTTCAGTCTTATGACAACTAGTGTTAGAACAAAATATCGAGTACTGAGTAAATATCTACACTATGCTGTCAATGAATACCTCTCACCGACCTATATGCAACCAAATCCATTAGTCTCCATGGATGGTCATACTGTTCAAAGAAGCATCAAAAACCGATCTCGAATCAAAAACTGAACTATGCTGTCAATAGTGAGAACTTTTGCTATTGATAGATATTTGTTGATATAGATAATTTCCTTTGACAGTACTCAAAAAGTATCGAAAATATAATCGATGAATACCTCTCACCGACTTATTACATATGCAACCACATCCAATAGTCTCCATGGATGGTCATACTGTTCGAAGAATCATCAAAAACCGATTTCGAATCAAAAACCGAACTATGCTGTCAATAGTGAAAACTTTTGCTATTGATAGATATTTGTTGATATTTATAATGTCCTTTGGCAGTACTCAAAAAGTATCGAAAATATAATCGACGAATACCTGTCACCGACTTGTTACATATGCAACCAAATCCAATAGTCTCCATAGATGGTCATACTGTTCGAAGAAGCATCAAAAACCGATCTCGAAGAGTCATCAGTCCGATATGTATTGCTTAAAAACCCAAAATGAATAGGACCACACTAATAAATAAAGATGTCCCAAATGTACATGGACTAAATGTTTTAATTCACCACAATATTTTATAAAAATATATTGATTACATTTGCAATACTATATTGTCAATTTCAAATAATATAATTCAACGATTTCAATACATGAGTATTTTACGTAATAATTCGAAATGTAATTGTTTCAAATAATAATACTATTGTTCTATTGTACACATGTAGAAATATTATCTTGATCCGTCATTAAATTGAATATTTATTGCTTTCCAAAGGGCCTCATATTGCACTTTTTTGTAAACATCTTTAAAGCTTTGCATGATCGCGAAAATTATTCATACGAAAAATATTCAACAATTATAAACTATTATTTTACTTAACAAATATTGCAATTTGAAAATTCAGTATCAGACCATTATATTGTTTCAACTAAAAATACTTTTAACTATTATAACTTGTCATCTCGTTCTGAAAAAGTATGGAATATGGAATTAGTATTGAGCTAAAGAGGCGCATGGCATCGTGCGTCAAGGCAAATTGTTGAAACTTCCTGTACCGTAATTAAAAATTCGAGGAATGAAAATAATCAGTAGCTGTTATAAATAATTTTAAATAGATAATTTGTTATAAATACATACTGTAAATTTAAGTGCTTATTGGGCGACGAGCGTATCTTACAAACAGCTTATGCCCATCGATTTTTTTGTAAATTTTGGGAAATTGGTAATTTTTGAAAATGTCCGTTTTTTTTTGAAAATTTCGAAACATCCTCAAATTTCTGTAAGAAATCGTTTTTTCTTTTAATTTTGCTATTCAATTTTTTCGAAATTTAGATATTTTTTTCAAAATGATAAAAAATTTAAAAAGTTTGAGTGTTTAAAAACTTCGATTACTATAACTTGCCGTACGGGAAATTAATTTAAAAAAATGATGTAATTGTATAAATGTAGGCATGCATTTTACTTATGAAACTCTATTTTAGTTAAGATCTATTGCGGAGGAAATATATCCAAATATAGAATAGAGCGGGGCTTAAAGGTCCAAGTATAAGTTCACCACTAATATCTCTAACAATTGAACTTCATGAATTCATGAATATTTTCGGCAAGATCATAGATACAGATTATATACAGTGTTATCTTTGCAAAAAATGTGCTCATAAAATTTATATTTTGCATTGGTTGAAAATTGTAGTTATTATTTTTTAAAATACTTTTAAAAATGAAAAGAAGACATTGGATCTGTTTCCCCACTGGCTGTAGCTGTAGTGTCCTCATAGGTTCACAACTTTAGAAAAAAAGTAAAAAAGCACATTTCTACGATTAGGAAATAACTGGGAATCATACTGAGTATAATAAATACTAAGTTATTTGTTTGATTCGTATTAAATGTTGTGATGTAATTCATTTAGTTGAGACAGTATAATTATTTGAAGTCAAATTAGGCCTTTGTGCCCCCTCCCCTACCCTATGTACTAATATTTAATTTTTGTGCAAGAAAAAAATGAAACAATTTATCAGATATAAACGATGTCTCAGCAGTAGGAATACTGACTTATTATGATTTAAACCTCGATATGCACTTATATAGCGTTCCATATATCTTTCTAATATTAAATTAAATTATATAATTAGGCCGTATTTTCAAGATCTAAAATACTTTAAAAAAATTAATTTAATTCGATCACTATGTAAAATTTAATCATAATATTTAAACCATGCGTATCTATTATCTAAATACAATATTTTACCTTACATTTATTAGCAATTGCATTGTTTTTATTAACAGAATAAATAAACTAAGAAAGAATGAACTAAAAGTGTGAATTCCTTATCAAAAGAAATAATATAAATCTACTTATTTGATATGTATATTTTTTTAATTTAAATTGGCGTTTATATCTCTTTCCACCGTAGTTTTTATTGTTATTATTAAATTACTTATTCTTGCCCGGTAAGAAAAAAATCTATCGCAAGGTTTTACCATTCTGTAACAGCCATCCATTTTAATTCTTTATAATAGCACTCAAAAATAAGTGCCATATTGTTTTTTCAGTACTGTAATTAGATGCTAAGAACTGCGAATCAGTTATCAAGTGAACGGCACTGATTTCTCTCAGATAGAGCAAAATAAAGCAAAGAATAAGAATAAAACACAGTCGGAGGAGACTAATGTGATTAACCAGTAAAATGCAGTGGCAGAGCAACTCGTCCGCTCGCAAATGAAGCGCCGAGCGCAGCAATTAGATAGAACGGCACCGGGTAGGGGCGCATTACGACGGAACAGTCCCGGCCGGCGTGTAAATTTTAAAATATCGTTATTTACAGAAAACGACCAACCACCATACGATAGATTACTAAATTCAGGTTATGTATAGACTTTCTTATTCCTCGAGAAGCCGTATGATACTTCACATAAGAGTCATTCGTTTACAAATTGCACGAATTTTGGAAAACTAGCTGTAAGTGGAATTCTGTCTTTGGAAAACTAGCTGTAAGTGCAAATTGCTGAAACTTCCCGTACCAAAAATTATTATTTTTTAAAAACAATTAACATTTTTGAAAAAAAATTACTTCGAAAAAATTAGATTTTTGAGAAACTATAAATTTGACAAAAAATTATTTTTAAAAAAATTTTTTTTTTTTGAAAACAAAATTTTTTTGAAAAGAAAAATGTTTTCTTCATTTTGACATATTTTGGAAATTCTAAACTTTCTTTCAAAGCGATCGTTTTGCTTGAACTGCATAGAGACGAAATGTCAAAGCGCGCAAGTGCCGCGCCGCCGTCTAATGCATAAGCATTGGTACGGAACCCATAGAAATGTAAAAAAAATTATACTTATTGTTAAAATCTCTATAAAATATCTGATAATTTGATGTGCATATGTCTAATGATCATTTTTAACGGCCAGATGGCATTTATTTTTAACTTCCCGTAGGGCAAGTTATAGTAATCGCAAAAAAATCGAAAATGAAAATTTTTGCATTTCTCGACGTTTCAAAGGTTTCTGAATATTTTGGCATACCTTAGAAAAAATGGATGTATGTGTGTGTGTGTGTGTGTGGGTGTGTGTGTGTGTGCGTGTGTGTATGTATAAGCGGATACAAATTTTTGTCGACGATTTCGGGAACACCGATCAACCGATTTGAATAATTCAAAAAACATTCGATTCGTATTGATAAGGAGACGTGCTGATTAGTTTTTGGCGAAGTCAGGTCTAGCCGTTCCGAAGATACGGGGCAAAAAGTGCCGAAAACGGTAACTCAGTTTTTAAGAGAACGGAGTGTCCGATTTTAATAATTCAAAAAACATTTTACTTGTATTGACAAGGTGAAGAACCGATCAAATTTTCATAAAGGCAGGTCTAGCGGTTTCGCCAAAAAATGCCATTTGGCGGTCAAAAGTGATCATTAGACATATGCACATCAAATTATCAGATATTTTATAAAGATTTTAACAATAAGTATAATTTTGGTTTACATTCCTATGGGTTCCGTACCGATGTTTACGCGTTAGACGTCGACGCGGCGTTTACGCGGTTTGATATTTCGTCTTTATGCAGTTAAAGCAGTACGATTGCTTTGAAAAAAAGTTTAGATCTTTCAAAATATGTCAAAATAAAGAAAACATTTTTTTTTTTTTAAATTAAAAAAAAAATTAAAAAAAAATTATTTTTTTCAAAAAAAGTAATTTTTTGTCTAATTGTTCGTCAAAATTTTTATTTTTTCGAAGTAAATTTTTTTCAAAAATGTTAATCGTTTTTAAAAAAATAATAATTTTTGGTACGGGAAGTTCCAACAATTTGCCTTAAGGCACGATGCCTTAATTGCCTTAAGACAGAATTCCACTTACAGCTAGTTTACTTTTTTCATTAGATTTCCGAAACCGCTAGACCTGCCTTCATAAAATTTTGATTAATTCTTCATCTTGTCAATACAAGAAAATGTGTTTTGAATTATTCAAATCGGACGCTCCGTTCTCTTAAAAACTTAGATACCGTTTTCGGCACTTTTTGCCCCGTATCTTCGAAGCGGCTAGACCTGCCTTCGCCAAAAACTAATCAGCACGTCTCCTTATCAATACAAATCGAATGTTTTCTGAATTATTCAAATCGGTTGATCCGTATTCCCGAAATCGTCGACGAAAATTTGTATCCGAACATACATACATACACGCACACACATACACACACACATACACACACACATACATCCATTTTTTCTAAGATATGCCAAAATGTTCAGAAGGTTTTGAAACGTAAAGATATATAAAAATTTTCATTTTCGATTTTTTTGCGATTTTGCCCTACGGGAAGTTAATAATGGCATAATAAATAGATGCCAAAACACCAATTTACTATTTTTAATGTGATGTGAAATATTAATAATTTAATTATTATTTTTCGATTAGATTAAAGTTCAACCGGATTGACAAAAGATTGAAATAAAAAAAAATTGAATGCAATAGTTGTGGGATCATTCAAAGTATGATGGTTTACGAATTTTTATAAACAGAAAAGTTTCAAGTGAAATGATTACTCATTTTATTATATATATA